CTCACTGCAGGCAGATTCTTTACCATCTGAGCCACCAGGGAAGCCCTTCACATTAAGTGCCAGGCCCTGTGCTCCAAGAGATTCTTAACTGTCTTGTTCTAGTTCAACTCCACAAGTGAGAGAAAAGCACAAGAGTTTAACAGAAAAAAGACCAAGCTTTGGAATGATCATGGAATTTTTCAGGCAAGAATCCTGGAGCATGATGCCATTTGCTTCTGCAGGGAATCTTCCCAGTCCAGGTATTGAACCCACATCTCTGGCATTGCAGGCTGATTCTTTACCACTGAGCAGCCAGGGAAGCCCTTTGGAATTGCAATTTGAACTAACTCCCCACCCTTCATTCTAGCCGGGTGACCTCTGAGAAAGTATTTAAATTCTCTGATCCTCAGTTTTCTCATCTGTAAGGTAAACATAATATCTACCTCCAAGGATTGCTGTGAAAATTAAAAGATAGGTAGGTAGGTAAATAGATAGATCTATCTTTTATGTATATGTGTACAAACACCCACACACATAAAACCACATAACACAGTGTCTAGAACCTGGAATACAACATTAAAAAACAGATGAAAAATGGTGTAACAACCCAGTGAGATGGGTGTTATTACCCCCATTTTATACAGACGAGAAATTCCTCAGAATAGCATCCTCTGACAGAAGTCCATTCAGTCTCTTCCACTGGTAAGGAGTTTCCTTGCTTAAATCATGAGTGAGTAGGGAATTGATCTGGAGCTTCAGAGATACCCAAGATTGAGGTAACAAATGGAGAAGGTTATTCCAGACAGGCTCAAACCTTACAGAGGCTTGTGGGAAGGGGTGGGGTAGACAGAATAGTGAGAGCACAAAGGAAACACTAGCTACATTTTTCTCTTCTCCTCCCATACAGATTGCTTGAATGCAAACCTATTTGTGAATTTAATCCCAAGCTATACTGGCAGTCCTGCTATGTATTGACCACCTAAGCTAAGAACCAGGATAGGAAAATGGTTAAGAAAAACTGCTCTAAAGTGACCTGGCTAGGCTTGAATTCCTACCTGTCATTTACAAGCTGTGTGACCATGAAAAATTCTTTAAACCTCTCTGAACTTTGAGTTCCACGTTTCTGAAATGAGAATAATAATATTAATAGATCCTTTGCTTTGAGAATTACACGAGTTAATATAGGCAGAGCCTATGCCATGCTTATATGTGGTAAGCTTTCAACGCATCATAATTTTTATTGTGGTTGTTACTGTTTCTATATGCTTTATATGAATAGTCCAATCAGATTAGGATGGATTAGGTAATGAACCAAATCATGGTTCAACTACTATGCAACTACTAGACACAAGATTCTAAAACCCAATCCGCTTGTCCCAGTCAGAAATAGTTCCATTATGCTGGGTAACAAACAGGCCCAAAAGTTCAGCACTGTGATATAGTCCAAGTTTATTCCTCGTTCACACAAATACAGTTCTGCACTGTGATATAGTCCAAGTTTATTCCTCGTTCACACAAATGCAGTTCTGGACAACTGTCCATGTATTAGCTTAACATTCCGGGGGGGGGGGGGGGTTGCTCTTATCCATATGAACGCAAGCACCTATGATCACAGTGGCAAGCAAAGGGCAGGAAAGTTGTGTACTAGTAATTAAATGTCCACCCAGAAGGGACATATGTCTTTCCTGCTCACATTTCACTGACCAAAACAAGTTACATAGTCACACTTAGTTCAAGAAAGAAGCCCATTCCTGAGCACAGGCAAGTTCAGAAAACAAGTTATTAGTGAGCACCAACCCCCCAACACCAGACTCTAAGCAATGCAAAATTGATTGCACTGTTCTGCCCATGAATGGACCAGCCATTGGTCAACTTTCTCTTACTGTAGCAGTTAATTTTAATACCCCTTAAGTGCAGAGAAAAGCATAGAAGTTTTAAATAAACTAAGTAATCAGAGACTGTTTTATAAACCCAGCCTGGCTCCTGTCCCTTTCCTGCCCATCAGCATCATTCCATGGTCCATGGATGTCCTCCTGTGTGCCTAGTCAGCTCACTCAAGACCGAGGCTGCCCATCCCTCCATCTGGGGGCTCCTTTTCTTCCCCCATCCATGACCAGGGCCCTGCGATCTCACCTGTCTATGCCCAGCTCTTGCTTGATATCTCAGTTCTGGAACAGAGATGTGCCAGCCACTACCTGGGAAGGCTCTAGCCCCCCAAATATTTAGTTAGCAGCCATTCAGTTAAGTGGAATTGACTTTTTATCGGCTTTCCTCTGTACGGCTGCCACCAGCGAAGTCTGTTTCCTCTTTTCCTCTTCTCTGCCTGTCAGTTCACTCCACATTCCTATCGGCAGCCTTTAGCTCTGATCAATACTAACCGCTGTGTAACAGCTCACGCACGGCTGCTCTGGTTTGCATCGATCAGACCCTTCTTCCAACAGGTAGTCAGCTATTTGAGGCAATGACTTGAGATAAACACCTACTTTTACTTCAGGCTAATTCATTTCAGGTGGATTTCAAGGAGGCTCCACACCCCATCTCTGTTAGACAAGCTGAAATCATAGAGTCAAGATCAACTCCTCATGTGCTCAAGTTCCTAGGAGACCTTTCTTCCTCTCCCCTTTTCCTCCCTTCCCTTGTATGTTGTAAGTGCCACTTATAAACAAGGTACCAAGACTTGGGACATTGAAAATGCTACTTCAGGAAATGTGTCAGCCAGTCATCTCTCTTTCCTTTTAATGAGATGCATCCAGACCACCGGAAACCTAGGGCTACCATGGAGGCAGCATTGTCGCCAGGCAACCAAGCATCCTTCCATCTTCCCCAGAACTAATCTCACTGTATCCTGCAACCTTTGTCTCTCACTACATTAGGGGGCAGTGAGTTAACCCCCACCCTTGTTCCAGGCTTACCAGTGAATATGCCAGGAGTTGATATTGCAAAAACAGTTGTTATTTTGCAATTAATTAGGGATTGGTACAACTACATGGCATTTGCACTATAACTCAAAAACAGGCAAGACTGGATTTTATAGATTTTTTTCCCAACATGTACACCAAATGTGGCTGAGTGGTCCATCTGATACCATCATGACCCTGTCACCTGGGTCCCAAACCTCCTGTCCTGTTTCTCTCTCTCCAGCTCATCGGCCCCCTTGTTCTGTTGAGCCTTCCCTTGCATGCAATTGGGTAGTTCCAGTGTCCTGCATTTCATCTCAATTGCTATCATCTTATTGAAGCCCTCCTCTCCTGATGCTTGAACCACTGCAGTACCTTATAGCCTGGTTTCCCATTGTTCCCTGATTTGTTAGTTTCACCCCACACCTAGATTTATCTTCCTTGCATTCTGCTACAATTGCCTTTCTCTTCTTGAAAATTCTCAGTGGCTTCCTATTGCCTACCAGAATGCAGGTCAATTCCTCAGTCTCTCATTTTAGTCTTCAGTGGTCTGGTCCTTACCTCTCCCTCTAGACTGTCTCTTGCTATCCTCTAGAAGAAACCCCACACCCTATTCCATCTGGACAATTCCCTACTTCCTCTACAAGACTTTTCTAGCTCTGTGCCTAAAAAACAAATGTCATGCCCCACACTGCTTTGAAATGAGTTCAAATCCTGGCTCTACTACTTATTAGCTGTGTGACCACAATTGAGTTATCTAACCTCTCTTGGAGAAGACTCTTGAGAGTCCCTTGGACTGCAAGGAGATCCAACCAGTTCATCCTAAAGGAGATTAGTTCTGGGTGTTCACTGGAAGGACTGATGCTGAAGCTGAAACTCCAATATTTTGGCCACCTCATGCGAAGAGTTGACTCGTTGGAAAAGACCCTGATGCTGGGAGGGATTGGGGGCAGGAGGAGAAGGGGACAACAGAGGATGAGATGGCTGGATGGCATCACCGACTCGATGGGCATGAGTTTGAGTAAATTCCGGGAGTTTGTGATGGACAGGGAGGCCTGGCGTGCTGCGATTCATGGGGTCACAAAGAGTTGGACACGACTGAGCAACTGAACTGAACTGAACTGAACCTCTCTTTGCCTCAATTTCTGTATTCTATGAAATAGGGATAATGACAGTACTTACCCCCATAAGTTGGCTATGAAGATTAAATTATGTATGTAAGGCATAAATAATGGTGCCTGTATATAGTAAATTCCAAGTAAACATTTCTATCATTTTGTTATTTTTCCCAACCCCTCCAAAGTATATATTGTCCATGAACATTTGCTAGGCCATCCTAGTAAATGATACTCCTTTCCTTTTCTGCCTCTTACAGCCCTTGGTTATACTTGAATGATACTTCATCATAATTACTGGGTGCTGGGTACATGCTCAGTTCTTTTATAGGCATTATCGCTTTTAAATCCTTAGACTGGATACCTACCATTTGCCCCAAATCCACTCTCCCTCTTATGTCACCTTGCTTTTTGCCACAAGAAGCTGATCTGTATGTCTAGTGGCTCCTAGTTGTACTTGACCAGCAAGGAACACTGAAAAGAAGCAAGCAGGAAAATGTGTGGGTCAGAGCTTCTATTCCTCCAGCTCCTTCTCAGATGTGTCACTGAAGAACAGCTTCCTCTCTCAACCCAAGGTCATGGCTCCTGCCAGGTGGAGGAGTCCTCTTAGTCCTGCTGTGTCCCTCACTCTCAGTCATCTCCTGTCTCTTCACACCTGGGATGATAACACGGCCCTAGGGCACTGCACTCTCCCTTTTGGGTCCCTGAACCCTGACTACACCTTTGTAAATACAACTGTTCCTCTATAAACTATCCTCTAATTACCCCATGTGTCACACTGGTTGACACAGTTCTCATTACAACCCTACAAGGTAGGAACTATCATTTTACCAAATTTGCCCAAGATTATAGCCCATACTCCGAATCACTCTATTATAATAAAGAGTAAGTAAGGTGGCTATTTCTCTGTGTATTTCCACACCTCTTCATCAGAATACATTAGTTTGCTTTTCATCCCATGAAAAAACACCCCAAAACTTAGAGACTTCTGTAACATTTATTAGCTCACCATTCTGGGGGTCAGCAATTTGGACTGGGCTCAGCTGGGAAGTTCTTCTGCTGGATTTGTCCAGGTTTGCTTGCATGGTGCAGTCAGCTGGAAGATTTTCTGAGGCCTGGTGGTCCCTGGTGATGTCGCATGCATATCTGGCATATGGGGGGTTCCACAGGGGTGACCAGCCACATGTCCCCAGTATCTAGCAAGTTAGCCTAGGCTGCTTCACATGGTGACTGTTCTAAAAAAAGCAGAAGAGAGCAAGCCTCAATGTGCAGGCACTTTTCAAGCCTCTGCTTACATCAGGCTGTATAACGTCTCATGGGTATAACCCAGATTCAAGGCCTGGCAAAATCCACTCCACTTCTTCAGTGAAAACAGCTGCAAAATACTTCAGCCATTCTTTTTTTCATTCTACCACAGGGGCACTCCTTTCTGGAAAGATCTATGCCTTGACAACTTCATATCCTGTATCCTCATAACCCAAGTCAGAAAAGCAGTATGGTCAGGTTCTGTGTTTAGGGGGTGGGGAGTATCCGCTTTACAGCTTGGTGAACATCTGACACTCTTCCTGCCTGTTACCACTAGACTGAAAATAATTCTGAAAGGGAAGTCTCTTAAAACTTAGTATGAGGGAGTGGAATTTTTTTCTAATTAGGCTTCAGCAGAATTTTTAAAAGAATCTTTCTTTTCTTCAGTGGCCTCTCCCTTGTTATAAATCTTAACTCCACCCAGTGGCATACCACAGCCAGCCTTGCTTCTCCTCCCCAGGCCTCCACACCACTGTTTGCTTGGCAGCAACACTCAGCTCACTTTGCCGCAGACAGCAGTAGGAGAAGTCTTGCTTCCTGCTCGCCTCACTTCCTCCTTTTTCCCCTCCATTCCTCCTGGAGCTCATCCTCTTCTGCTCATTCCTGCTTTGCACCCATCCTCTCAGAATCAGGATTCTGGGAAAGGAGGAAAGGTTAGCCTGAAGAACTGCTCTATAAATACATCCCCCCAGGTTGAGCACTGCACACAGTAGCCAAGAGACTCAGCCAGAAAACTGGCCTTCCAGGAAGCCCTAAGACAGACTATTAATCTAGAAAGTAGCTGTACTTGAAATTTTCACTTTGAAATACCTGTGATATCATGAAATTGATGAGGTCAGCCCTTTATTAATTTATTTCACAAGTACTTATTGAATACCTACTATGTGCCAGGCACTGGAAATATAAAACATGGCCCCTGCCCTTGAGAAACATATAGTCTGGGGATGGGTGGGAGGAAGATAGAGACATGAAGAGATCATATCAGTTAACAAAGTTAAGTATTGAGTTGGCCAGAAAGCTCCCTCATGTTTTTCTGTTATATCTAATGGAAAAGTCAGAATGAACTTCTTGGCCCACCCAACTCGTACTATGTACGAGGGTGTCATGAGAAGCCAGGAAGCCACTGCACCCGGCCTGGGTGACCAGGGAAGGCTTTCTCAAGGAGATAATGCCTGATTAGGTCTAGTCCAGCACTGTCCAGTAGAAGTAGATTACTGGCCATGTATGTTTAAACTTTCCAGTAGCCACAGAGAAAATAACCTTGATAACATATTTCATTCAAGTCAATATATCTAAGTTATTGCTATTTCACTACCCAATCATTATAAAAATCATTAATGAAATATTTTACATTTTTTTTATTGTACTAAGTCTTTGAAATCTAGTGTGTGTTTTATAATGACAGAACATCTCAATTTGGACACTAACTTTTCAGCAGTTAAAGTAAAATGTAGTCCTACCAAAGCAATAAAGTTGTGTTTAATAGAGACATATTTTATCTTGTTCCAATTTAAAATTTTTAATCTAAATTAATTTAAATGAAATAAAATTTAAAATTCAGTTTTTCATTTCCATTAGCCATGTTTCAAAAACTCAATAGCCATGTGTGACTTGTGGCTACCATATTGGAGAACTCAGGTTTTAAAGGATAAATAAATGTGAAGCAAACAAAGAGAGGATTAAGCATTCTTGGCAGGAAAACAACAAAACAAAACCCAGTATCAGCAAAGGCACTAAAATCATATGGGCTTTGGACTGTGCAGTTTAGTAGTTTAGCATTACTGTGACAGAATGGGCAAGGCTAGTGACGGGGAAAGACCCAAATGTGGAGGGGCAGGCAAGACAAAGTGAGCCTTGAGTGCTCCTGAAAAATCAAGGCTCATCTCTTTCACGAGAATGTACTTAATGTATGAGGGAAGCTGCGCACAGAGAGAAGTCTCAGGTGTAGCCCCTCCCTAAGGCCACTAAACCCTATGTGAAGGAATCTACCCTCCTGGCAGCCTAGGAATTTCAGCCAGTCCACACCTGATATGATGGAGTTTGGCAAAACAAAGTATAGAGTGCACGAAGCGTATTTGCTACAACCAGCAGAAATCAGCTGAAACATATTTCAGTGACCAGTGGTTAAATGATAAATTATTTACCCCAGGTACACACAATACAGTGAATAAAGAGCAGGATGTAGACAATAAAACCTTGGTTTGGAAGAAACAGGTGGAAGAGCATATCATATAGTGTAGAACAGAAATAATTAAGAATCCTGGCAGTAGAAGGAATTCTTTGTATCCAGTATGGACCAAGGAGGATCATCCTTTTCCAGTTGTACTCCATGAGCGTATCTGAGAAAGGAATTGGAAGGATGTGGTCTCTGGGAATTATCTGCTTTAGCGGTTCACAACCATTTGGTGCAGGTTTGTAGGCTAGGGATTATTCTAAAGTTTGTCCTAATATTTGAGCAATTTCAGACTGCTGTCCTCCTTTTATGGAGTTTCTGTGGCAATGCACACCTCAAGAAAAGCTAATGGGCTTTCCATCTATTGCACTGGGTAACAACCACAGCCAGAGGTTTTGTTTGGTCATGCTTTTCAAACCTAGAAATTTCTATTTTCTAGTCAAAAACCTCTATGCTTTATTGATACACCTAGACTACTAACTTTCAAACTTTTAGTGTATAACTCATAAGAAATGAATTTTACTTGTGAAGTAAAAAAATTATGCATGTATGTTATTAATATGTATGCATGTATAACCAAATCACAAGTGTCATGCAGAAGTATTTACCCTCACTGCATGAGGCATTTCCTGATATTTTCTATTCCATTAGGAATAAAGAAGAAAGGAAAGGAGAGAAGAAAAGCTGGTCACAATCCACCAAATTGATTTTGCAACCTGCTAATGGGTCACACCCAGAGTTTTAAAGCAATACCTTAGTTGAGGCCTAGTTTAATAGCCTCTCCTTTCATTTTAGCCTCTGCTTTGAAGGAAATAAAAACCAAACCCTTGGATAGAGATATTCTCATAATTTCTTCTATCCCTCAGATTGCTACCAAATACAACTACACAAAGCATGTGAGTCTCCCCTGTCTTAGAGAATGTTTAACATAGGATGTGCTAGGAGAGCCTAGGAGGGAGTCAGAATTTTCATCATGTCCCAAGCTCATTTCCTGGGAACCCTCTGCCCTCCCTGTTTCTGTATATGGAAATTGAACCCATCTGTAGTAATCAAGACCTCCCTTCCATATTTGATTCCACTTCCCGTTATCTTTTCTAGAACATTCCTTCCTGTGCATTTGGGGCACTTGCCTCCTTGCCCCACCCCAGTAGTTCACATAGTGGATGTATGTGATTATAGCCCACAGGAGTTCTTGCTTAATTGTAATTACTCACATTAAAGCAACGCCTTGGATGATGCCTCATTCTCTAGGCTGTAATGTGGACGTGGGTGTGGATAGATGTGGACCATGTACACTGTGACTGGCCCTGGATTTTTAATTTCTAGGAGGCAGCTTTGTGTAATGTGGTAGAAGTTCTCATACTTCCTCAGGGCTTTTGCTAACCCTCAACTAGAACTTGTTATTTCCCAGCCAGGTTTATTGACCTTCAGGATATGAGGAACAGTCTTATATTATTCTTATGTTCTTGTATGTTATTCTTATATATTATTATATGTCCCTTCCTACAAGTATAAAATACCTTCCTTCCTCCCTTCCCTCCCCTTCCCTGCTTTTTACCAGCTTCTCTCCTTCTCTCCTTGTTCCTTTTTTCCTCCATCTTTCTTTTTTCTTTAATCCTCTCTTTTTCCTGCCATCTTTCCTCGTCCTGTTATCCTCCTTCTTCCAGCTTATTGCTTGTCCTAACTGCTTTTTTTTCTGTCTGTCTGTCTCTCTCTCTCCTTCCCTTATTCTTTCTCCCATGACTAATGTACCTAGTTTGCTGCTGCACTGTGTAATTTGTTTTGTCTTTTTGCATGGATGCCCCAAGATTTTCAGGCCAAGGGCAAACTTTGAAATCCCCTATGACAGTAATACCCAAGGTGCAGGGCATCTTGAGTGGCTGGGCCTGGAAGTGTGTTCCCAGGGCGTGGAGGAACCCTGCCACACATGAATCCGGAGGGGCTGCAGACCGCCCTCATGGTCAGCCAGGCCCCTGGGAAGTGGCTAGGGACCCTCCACCAGCTCCCCTCAATGCAGAAGGAAAGTGGGCGATGGCTGGGGTTCTTCTCTCCTCTTTACTCTTCGCTAACCTCCCCCTTCCCATCTTATTAGGAAAAGTGTTCATTTTTTTAAAAAATCCTTCCAGCGTGGCTTTGTTGTCATTCATGAAACCAAGATTCCCATAGTTGGTTGTATCACAGGTCCATCTCCACCGCCCCCCCAACTTCTCCTCCACTCACTTTCTCCGTCTCCTGCTTTATCAGCTCCTCTGTGGTCTCTGCCTCTTCCTCTCTGACTACCTCGCCCTCTCTTCTTAGTGGGCATTATTCCTGTTTTTCTGTTTTATCTCTCCTGAGATGAGATATGGCGAGCAGATGAGAGGAGAGAAAAACGAGGCCTTTTGGAGAGAAGTGTGTCAATATGCCTGGGCATTACCCCACGCCTGTTCTAGAACATCCACAAACACAGAGGAGAAGGACATGCAGATACCCAGACCCACAAATCTGGGGTCCTGCAGCTGCAAACCGCTCTCCAGCCATCCCCGAGGGATTCC